CCCCTCGTTGGGTGGCAGAAAACAAGGAAGAAACCAGTGAAGAAAGAGTCCCTGGCGTGATGGTACAGCACAAGACAGAGATCCCAGACAGTGAGTTCCTCTATAGAGAATATCTAAATTTCATTACGTTTTCCCTCGAAAAGTTGTACCACTAGGGGTTGCTTTATTTATTTTTTCCCTCTATTTTTTTTTTTTAACACATCAGTTTTACAGGCTAAAAAGCCATTATCATAACTCAGTCACTTCAAAGTCCAAACCCTATCGATGATATTCTACCACCCACTTGGTTGCGACCCACAACAGTCGTTAAACATCCAGATACCTACTTACTGTTAGGTGAAAAAGGGGCAGCAAAACGTGAGAAAACATGCCAACGTTTTACCTGTACCGGAGACTGAGCCAGAGGACACTCAGTATATTAGCTGAGTGTTGCTGCCAACCGTATGTACACCACGAGCTATATTATAAAATGGTACGCTGCCAAAAAATAACAAAATCCAAAACAACCTAACTGGTAAACCCTCCTTCCTTTTTATCAACATAAAACATTCGGTTTAGCAAAAAAAAAAAAGTATATAAGTTGGTAAAAAAGATTTAAGAGATACATTTTTGGGATATAAAGTGGCATTACAGTACATGAGATTTGAGAGATTACTGTCTAGTACATATTGTTATGTGTTTGTTACAGATTATAATGCAAAAATCTCATCCAGCTCCTCAGCCCTAGGACGGTGCCCAAAATACAGCAGCCATTACCCTTCTGAAAAGCAGCACTGAGTCGCTGGGAACAGAGAACTAGCTGCCCTGGGATCCCTAGTTACCCTGTGAGTTTTTGCCTAGCTCCATAAGAGACTTAGATGCACTTTTCCCCCCATGAGCCAAGAATCTCTGAGCCTATGGGAAGAAACATATAATGATAGGCAAGTTCTCGTATTTTCTAGACTGGATGCTTTTGGCTGCCACAGATTTGCATAGCTGGGATGGCTCCCTCACTGCTGGGCACCCGGCTGTTGTGAATCTCCTCTTGATAATTAACCTCCTCATGTCTTGCAGTCTTTCCCTCGGATTTACGGCACACAAGACCATGGTACCCAAATTGGTCTGCTGCTTCACTGCCACAAATACACCTGTGTTCGGCGAGAATAGGGGCGGCAAGTCGAAGGGCAACACCAGTGCGGATGGTCTGTGGGTCAAGGCATGTGCCAAGGCTGGAGTTGGGAACAGCCAACAGAAAGTCCCCTGCATGAGGAGCTCACTGTCAGGATGCAGGCTCTGTCCTTCCTTGTCACACTCTGAAGCATTGTTGAGGCTATATTCCCCACTACTGGACCATCCCAGTGCGGCTGTAATAGTTGGGGCGAGCAGGTCTGGTTTCAGAGCCCGTTAGATTATCCCAGATCATGGCTTTGTCAATGAACTTTTGGCCATGAATTCCAATCTTGTCCCTAAGAT